GACCGCCTTAACCAGATGTCCACTTCAGTGAGCTCTTGTTCAAAGCTACTAAGCATTGGTTGAGTACCGAGTATGCTCAGATGCGGTAAATACGGAGATGAGCGAGCTTCCCGAACCCTCAATGGGATGCTGATTGACAGTTGAACCCCCTCCCAATGCTAGCGGCTGGGGACTGATCTGCTTGTTGTACAACAAGCTTCAAAAGTTTACAGCTGGTTTGACCGAAGTGCAAGAGACATGGAGTGGGAAAAGAAAAAAAAAAAAAAACAGAATGAATGAATAAATGAATTGTTTTACAAACTTCATGCGCGTGTAACTCCGAACTTGCCTTGAACACGAGGGGAGGGGCGATAGACCGCAACAATTCAAGGTCTCCTTCTTCAACCAACCGGATGTGGAGGCTGATCTTGCCATCTGGCCACCCGTTACGCAGTGGAAGTCTTGAGTACTTACTCCGTACTAGCACTACTACTAGCAGCAGAGACTATAGTACTTTTTGCTTGGCCCCTAAGTACTAGTCAACTATCATAAGGGGTGATGGTTATGATGATCGGCTGGAAAGCACTTAGTCTGGCCACAATCGGGATTTGGATCATGTTCGTTCGGGCCCTAGACTCGACTCAGCAAGCAGCAGCTTGACGCGTTTCGACAAGAGGAGAATATTGTAGTAGATGCACGAAAAGTTCTAGACCAACGGCAGAGCATAACACACAGTTGTTTACGCTATACTTAGTGTTTCGCCTGGTATGGACGGTGGCATCATCATCGTCATTGGGCAATATTGTTGGAGGACAAATCCAAGAGAATGATGAAAGGGTGAGTGAAAGCAGAGTGTCTGTCAATAAAAGTCAAGATCAATCGACAGAAGAGCCAAAAAAAGGCCTCATAGAGAGGTCGCCATGATAGTGATGATGATGACGATGATGTTTATCGATCGGGTCAAAGCTGAATGTGTTACAGTAACATGACTCGCGTCACGAAGGGGCCCATGTTTGCGTCGTTCAGACCCATGAATTCTCCGAATGGATCTATCCGGCGGTGACTTACCGCCCTCTGGTTCCATGGTAGGTGGACTGCATCTTCTGCGTCACCCTGGATGCCATTGTGTGTTTATGGATTGCTCGTTCGCCAAAATTAAATTCGCAGCCTGCTTTCCATGGTTTGTCGGTAGAGTCGCACCGAGCTGTTTAGAAAATCAGGAAAGCGGAAGAACAGCCATTGGCAAGTGTAATCAATTCAAGGCAACGCAAATTGAAAGCTACTTTGCACATGAAGTTACTATACAGGATGGTAGAATGGTACATGGATACTTTTTAGGTAGGTAGGGTACGCAGCTACCTACGATGCGAATTGCGTTGCCGCATCGAGTTGTACGTAATGCCTATTGGAGTGTATACTAGACAACGGCTGGACTACCGGTGAGAGTGAATAGATAGCTGCTAGATACCACTTAACTATAATCACTACTATACTACAAGTAGTAGTAAACACTCAACGCTGAACAGAGCCAGTTTGAAGGGGAATGGAGATTATTGGATCATAGAGGGGAGGAAGGAGGAGGGGAAAGTAGAGAATAGAGAAGAGGGGGGGGGGGGCAAAATGGGACTACTAGTACTTCTAAGAGTATAGTACACAACTAACTACATTTAGGCCAAAGAAGCCTCGTAGCGAGTATCCGCCCCTTCACCCCTCTCCCACTAAGGCCCATCAGTGCGAGAGAGAGAGACAGACAGAGAGAGAGAGAGAGAGCTTCGAAATCAAGCCTCGCGCCCTGCGACCGCCAGTGCGTTTGCCATGTCACTGAGTAATGGAACGGACTAAGCTGGCGTTGTCGGTCCCACTTAGCCTGTCAACACGGGGCCCAAGCTGGTGCTGATTGGGCATGGATGGTCTCTGGTGCCTCCGCCACTCTCGTCGGAAGAATGCTTTTAAGGCAAGCCACCGTTTGACCCGTCTCCACTGGTCCCTAGGTAATCTTGCAGGCTTGCAGCTGCGCGGGAAACCCCTTGTTCCCGCTGGCCCCGTCGTTCGATGTCCAGCTGTGATCCAGGTTCTCCGCAGCCCTCCTTCTTTTTACCCAAACATACCCATTGTTACCCTCTGTTTCCCTGAACCAGAAGATTGTTCTCTGTTAATTATACCTTTGGAAAGGGAATGCTTTACTTACCTACTTAGTAGTATGGAGGTAGCAATGAGCGCTTACTTAAGACTGGTAGGTGACGGGAGTAAAAAAAAAAAAAAAAAAGCATAATAAGCTAGTCAAAAAGAAATGAGAGACGAACGGCACATCGCCCTCGTTCCCTCCTCCCGAGATCACAAGTGTGAAGGACCTACTGTGTTGAAGATGATGTGAATGGAACATTGATCCATCAATCTTTGCCATATGGATACATAGTACCAGAGACAAGCGCAGAGAGAAAAGAGACCGACGCGTCTTTGGCGGCAATCAGTTCGGTTTAGCGAGTCTGGAAGCACGCCGTACCAGCACTTTGGTGGTTCCAGCCCAAACGATCAACAGTTCCTAATTAAATGGGAGCCATCGAGACCCGGAGATCGCGAAATCTCAACCGTCATCCGTGAGGGTTTAACGGGACGGTAATCAAAACCTGTAACCCCATAGTATCTGCCACAGGAATAGAACTCGAAGAGCCACAGCGGACTTTGTAACCAGGCAATAATTTGTCGCCGACCAAGATTTTCGGCAACAAGCGCTAGATTTTGAGAGGTAAAAAAAAATAATAATAAAAACAAGACGAAATAGAAGGTCGTATATACTGTACACTATAGTGAGCTATGGTATCACCTGTTCTCCTATGGCACCATGGCGCCCCTCCTTTAGCAGGCAATAGACTCGAGGTGATGGTACCAATATCATAGCAATCCAAATCAAATCTCATACAATTGTTCTTCTTGTTTGAAGAAAAGGAAAAGGACCAAAAAAAACAAATTTGCCTACATTAGGGTTCTTGTGTTTCATGCATCTAAGACCCGAAAGAAACAAATGCAAAAGCCTGAATGGCTCGTCTTAATTGTACCAGCTGATTGGGTGGGAGAATCTTTGCGTTCTTGTTATTACCACTACTGTACTTTTTTAGTAATATCGACAAGATACCAATATCACATTCTGCTTGTAACAGGGCCATTGACATGTTGACTGATGGATTCGGAGAATAAGTGCGTCAAACCCGACAGGGATAAGGGTAGAAACCTTGCCTGCACATGCTTTTGGGGGATGGGGGGAGATGGAAAGACAAAACAAGAAAAAGCAAAAACAGGGAAAGGCAAGAAAAATAAAAGAATAACTAGAATACAGCAGAAAAGCAAAGACCGCTCTCCAATCTCTGCTAGCCTGACGGAACAGGTAAATGGACACTAAAGACAACCTTAGGATGCACCTAGCTACAAAGTAGGAACAGAGAAGCGAAGCTTCATATTACCACTTAGAACATTAAGGGAACAGAAAAGCCCACTTACGAGAGATGAACCCGCGTTGATCCACCAGTGCAGGCTCGGCAGAGAACCATTTGCCGCCTTGTCACCTGATTGACAGCACCACGAGTGGATGTATCACTTTTTCCTTTCACTCGAGTCCCTTGCTGAAGCTGCCAGATCCCACAGGGACGGATCTCATCACTACAAAATACTCACTCATAATCTTACTTACTTCCACTCCCATCTGAACTGATCAAAAAGGCAAGGCTGTGAGGCAGCCAAATGAGTCAGTTAAAATTGGTCACAACATGGACGCTCAGACTTACCCGAAGAACGGGAAAGATATTCATCATGGATGGGACTATGCTGACGTTTGGACCGATAAGGCCAGTCAATTAAGGCATGAAGTGCAGAAAGGTGGACGAGGCGAACTGGTGCTAAAAGACCCCGGATCCTAGTTAGCGCCTGGCTAGCGATATTACCTAGGACGATACTTGCCGTTCCAGGCTTGGGGTTCGTTCGCCGTTGACAGATCCATCCAGACGGTCTGGGACTAATTGGCTGGAGCAACCCATGGCCGTTGGGCCTCGGAAATTTAATTAGATTGAGCGGCGCCCAATCAAAAATACCATGAAGAAAACCGGAAATTCCACAAAAAGGTAAATAAAAAAAAGAATAGGGAAAAAAAGGAAAAATAACAGTAATTCGAAACAAATTGGTATAAATAAGTAACAAAATTAATGAGAACACGGGAAGCGAGTAAAATGAGCTTTATACTCTGGTCATTTCTGAAAGCACTGAATTTCTTACCATCTATTAGTAGTACTGTTTTGGTTCCCTAAAAGAGTAATAATGACAGAAAGTCAGCCGATACCTTCCCGTCCTTTTCCAAGTCACAGTGAAAAGTACATTCCCCTCTCCCTTTTCGCCGTTTCGGCCGACGGGTGATGGTTAAAAGCCTCCTCTGGGGACTTGACGCCGTCGTCGTTACGCATGCTCCCCATTATCGGCCGTTTTCGCCCTCTGGTTGGAGCTTCTAAGACCATTCCACTTCCCGGCTTAGGGCGGTGGTCTTCTCCACAGGGAGGAACCATGCTCCTCAACTGTCTAATGAGATTGTTTCCTCCTAATTTCTGTTCAAGACAAGTACCCTAACTAACCTTCGGGTCCTATACCGGGGTTCCCGGTTGTTCAAGGCCAAGTGAAAAACAACTCCCCACCACCTACCCACTATTATTACCCACCTGTGGCTTAGACATTTGCTGCTCACTGCCCTTTCCTTCTCTAGCAATACCAATGCTGCCCCTCCTGAGGGTTACCGAACAGTGTGCTATGCATATACTCCGTACGCAACTTCCTCTTCCCTCCCACACCCACATAAAGCACCTAAAAAGCACCCCAAATGGACCAACCAAGTTCGAGTTAGGATCAGTAGGAAAGTTCGAAGATATTGCGGTCTAAATTAAGATGCAGCACAAGACATTTTCGATTGTTCTGCCTTCATGCGTATGCCAGGAAGTATTCCATCCTACAACTCACAAAAACACTTTACGGGTATAAAAAAACACAGACAAGACATTTATGTACCAATACTACTATCTATACTTCGAAAGGACCAACCTACCTACACCCGGAGTGAACAGGTTAACGCACCTGAATAGAGCATCGTCGTGTGTTAATATCGACTGTTTGTCTCCATCCTGTTCACAGCATTAATATCACTCTTATTATCCATTTCTATTTGTATTTTTTTTTTCTCTATCAGTACGTTTATGGTCATGACGACGATGATGTTGACGATTATCATCATGGCCGACCTAAAAGGGACTCGCGTCCCAGCTTGAGCTTTTCTTGGGTAAGTTCGGAGCAGACAGTCAACAAGTCTTGGTAGGAGGTGGGCAGGTACCTTAGGTAAGGCTAGGACGGAGTTGATTGCATCCATCCTGTTTCGCCAGCCAACTCACCAACCAACCAACCGAGTCATTAACATGACCGAGGCTGGGCTCGAACGTTCTTCCGGAGAGGTTTGACCGCCAGTAAGGCCCTTCCCGTCAAGTATAGTACCCGGGTGTGGAACCGTTTTGATAATCATCGCCGCGTTGATAATAATATTTTATTATTATTTTGGTTAAGCCCAGTACCGTTTTGATTCTTGCTCTGAATGGGGAGGAGGGGGTGGGATTATTGTTGAGGGAAAGATGAATCTCATCATTTCATTATCATGATGATGATCAGTGTTGATTTATTTTATTGTATTTTTCTTCTTCCTTTTCCCTTCTTTTCCTTATTCCCTCCTTATTCACTTTGTTATGCGCCCACAGACAGTACTCAAGCCAATGTACCAGATAGATAAATAGATTACTTTTAGATCTCACTAATGGAAGCACCGCAGTATCTGATACTCTTCCGTTGTGACTTGACGGCTGGGCGTGGACCTTAACCCTTTCTGTCTGACTTACAATTGGACTAAAAGGCAGTGAGTGAGGAGGAGAGGAGGAGAGGAGGAGGGGAGGACTAACGGCTTTCCCTCGAAGGGCAAATGAGATTGAGACAGAACAGGAAAACGGAATAGGATAGGAAGAAGGGGAGGGGGAAGGATAAAGAAAAAAAGAATAAAAAAAAAAAATAAATAATCAAAAAATAATAACGACCGCTAACTAATGATCTCTAGTAATAATGTTTATTTATTAAACGGTTTCTCGAACCCACTGGCCCTGGCCTCGCCTCTTCGTTAGCTTCCTTTTCCCTCCCCATAGCAGCAATATTACTGCTGAGCTTCTTATTTGCTGCGCCAACCAGCTGTCAACGGTCCCCGATGATCTCTCTTCTTATGCATCTCCAGACGTTTCATCTGTCTTGTCTGGCCCTTTCTCCCTTTCCCTGACTCTCTTTTCCTTCCCGTCTTCTACTTCTTTACCTCTTCTTCTTCTTCTTCCATTTACCCTCGTTGACTATCCCACTCTGTTTGACTCTTGCTTATACTTAACTGGTGCCCACTGCTACCTCTAGTACATTCTTCAGCCCCAGAAGTATTCTTCACTGTTCACACACTACTATATTTTGATCCCTACTATATCTCGCTCGATTCCAGCTTGACGCCATCGCCTCGACACCTATCGGACATATCAACTTTCTCTCCGACCTGAAGGCCCCGTCATTATATATGACAGTCGCCAGACGAATACTCTTGTCTGCATTATCGCTTTGCTTTCCATCCATTTCCTCCTCGCACACCCACTCTAACAGTCTCGGAGTTTAACTGGCGGCCTCTCTTACTTTACCCTATCGACACTGCCGCAGTGCCACCAATACACTCGCCACTAACTAGTGGAGTTTTTTTTCCCGGAAAACAGAAGAAGATCCAACAGGGTACTAATTCATCTCACTGGTTGGGACGTCTTTGGTAACCCAGGTTATCTCTCTTTCCTATTTTCGGTTGATATATTCTTGATCTCTTTCATCTTCTCGTTATCCTACAACTTCTTCCCCCCCCCAGTTCGTTTCACCTCTGCATCTAGTCTGGTTGGGCTTCTGAGCTATCATTTTCTATTCATCTTGGCATATGGTGCTCTTTGCTATACATATCTTTACTTGAGAAAGGAATTTTCCGCTGCGAACCGCGCATATGATTGCGTTACAAAATCACGCTATCCTGCCTCCTCCCGCCAAAGTGGATATCTCACTGCTGCTGAAGCCTCAGGATGAAGAGGAAGCCGCCTCGGTGACTACAGCGCCTAGCTACCCACCCAGCGCAATCCCACCACCCTCGGTGGCACCGACGTTGCCAGTGGCTGCCCCAGCGTCGTTGTCCTCGGTCCCTCCAGTGCCCCAGCTTACGTCCAAGATCCCGGCTACGGTGCCTGCCAAGCGCCTTCAACCTGCCCACACAGCAGAGTCGCCGGCTAAAAAGCAATCCAAGTGGTCCCCGGAGGAAGATGCCCTGATCATTGAGCTACGAGGGAGTGGCATGAAATGGGAGGATATTAGCAAACGGCTTCCTGGCCGAAGTGCCATCAGTTGCCGTCTACACTATCAGAATTATTTGGAACGCAGAAGTGAGTGGGATGAGGACAAGAAGAACAAACTTGCGAGGTTATATGAAAGGTATGTTCTATGCGACAGCGAGGCGGTGCCTCGAGATTAATCAGACGGTTGTTAATTGTCATTGCAGATTCAAGGCAGAGATGTGGTCAAAGGTAGCAGAGGAGATGGCCATTCCGTGGAGGGCTGCAGAAGCCATGCACTGGCAACTGGGAGAACAGGAAATGGCGCGTCGAGCGGGAGTAGTCCCATTCTCATTATCAAGTACCGCCATAGATCCACCAGCGCCCCGAACTCGCAGAGCCAGCACATCTCTAGCTCGACCGAGAAAAGGATCGACATCTCGTCCAATCCCTCCTCCGCCGCAACTTCCTTCGGTGGAAGAACTTACCGCTGGAGTTCCTGCATTTGCACCGCACCCAACTTTTCCGGCTCCTCGCGAACCCTATAGATTGGGGCGACCCTTGGACCTGGGTGGTCACAGTGGTCATTTGGGACCCAACCTCGGTCTGCCCCCTCGAACCCTCCCGTAGAGGGTATGAAGAAAACGATGTCTATGCCTGTGTGTTTTGCGTTATTACGAATTGCATAGCGCTGGTTGGAGGTATATCTTCTTCACTCATGGGAGGGCTTGTCATATAAGAGCTCTTCCGAGTGCGTGTGTGCGCTTTTTTCATTATCCTCATCTGGCTTTGATCTTGCTACACATGAAAAGGCACCTTCGAGAGGAGGCCTCAATTTGACGAGTCCAATGCTCGTATCGTCATTTCTGTCGTGAGTGCTATGCAGATGTGGGAGACGGGCTTCGAGGCTGGATCTCGATGATCCCACTGCATTCATGTATCTCATGGTGATCCTGGGTTTGTCCGTGTTGCGATCGCCCACCAATTGTCTTTCTCATATCCTGATTCCAGGACATGGCCTCCCGCCTTGTTGATATCCTGCTCGAGTTCCGACTCCTTGTAAAGGTGGTAATACCGATGGAACACCGTGGGCTCGTTGGAAGGAGCGTCCGCAGAAGGGGTTCCCTTCATGACCCAGGGAACCATTATATCTTGCGGATCACCTTTGTCCCAACCTCTACGGCTGCTTTTCTGTTCCAGGGCCCAAGCATAGATCAGCGCTCTCCCACCCGGAGAATCTTCGGTAGCAGGTTTCAGCGTACGCAGGATCTCGCGAATAGCTTGGACCCTTCGTTCAGGAGTGGACAGGTGGTGGACGACAGCAATCGAGATGGCGAAGTCGAAAAAGGAATCGGGATGTGGGAGGTGGAGAATATCGGCTATGATGGTTGAATGTGGCTGATGCTTCTGTGCAATTTGGGCCAAATTCGCGGATCTGACATGGAATGATCAGCTTTTGAATACAATGGGAGGTAAATGCCTGCGTACAACAGGCTCTATTTGGGACAGGAATGACATGATAATACCCATATACGAAGTACGGTAGATAGAAAGAAAGAAACAAAACTGAAATTGAAATCCAATATTCCAAGACGAGACGAGATATTCTGCAAGGGAAAGAAACATACCTATCCGAAGCAACAATAAAGACCTCGCGATTCACGGCCAGATACTTGCCATTGCCACATCCCACATCCAAACCAACGGAACCGGGCTCTAAACCTCTGAGAAATTGTTCCACAATGGGCCAAGGCTGTCGAAGGGTTAACACAGAATCCCGAGATTGCAATTGGAATATCGAGGAGGGGTTGAGTTCGGCAGGAAAAGAAGCGGTAGTACCTTATAACGAGTGGAGGAAAAATGACTGGCAATTTGTTGGTACACTTCATGGACATTCTGCTCTTCATACGATTCCTGATCAGCCGAGGGAATGTTTGCCAGGGCTGGAACATTCGGGGCAGCCATCCTTTTTGTTGGTGGTTTTCCCTCTTGGTTTCCCACACTGAATGAACACTGATTCTGCAGATACCCCTCCCACGATAGAAATTAAATTTGTTGTTTCTACGAGAGTTTGGGGATCGTTCTCTAGAGATTATTGCACCCCGCTGTAGGCTTGAAAGCAACCCAGATCTCTGAAATGCAGTGCGATGTAGAGGTTGATTGAATGATTGGAGCTGAAAACGTGCAAAGAAACGAAACAAATTTGGATGTTTGGAGGAGGGGCCGAATTTCTCCTTCTACACACAAGACGTCATCTCGCACTGTGTATGCTGTATGGTATCGGTAATACTATCTAAGAGCTCCCTGTATGTAATATTAATCATCAAGTTAGTTACCGTACACCACGTGCTCATTGGCGGTTTGGCATCAAAGGAAGCAAACATCCCCACGATTTATCAGGAACATTAAGACTAGTAGCAGCAATTCCTTTGCTTGTCAATTCTTCTCGGCGTTGATATCACCAGCCACTGCTCCGAGCTTAATTCTAGCTTTTCTCCATCTGGGAAGGCATCTTGATCTGGTCAGTATCATAATCCCCCCTTTCAGACCTTGTAAGCTATTCAAGACTGCAATTCTGTACATTCTCCTATAGTGGAATCCCCTCGCGGGGCAGCTTGATTTATATGAATGATGAATAGCCTGACCCTAAATATTACTTGCAATTCCACTGAGAATTCAAGTCTGTTCATGTTATTTTCTTTCGTCTTCTGCAGATTCCCCTTGGCGCTACTCTATCTAATTCGTGAACATAGAAAGAACTAAGCCCCTCCCTGCTGGACTGCAAACACGGACAGACACAACGCTGTAGATCGTTGAGCTTCAGAAGCAGTTCAGCTTCCACAATCTTTCTATCTCAAGCACTCTGAAGAGCTTCAGGCTGCTCCAAAACCATGGCTTTTCAACCTACTCCGGCGGACATTTCTGTCGCCATTACCACGCCCATGGCAAGTTCCAGTGCCGAGCCACGCTTGCTAACAGAGCGTCGTATCACTCCCACTTGGAGTGTCTCGCAGCTTAAGGGCAAGCTGGAGACTATGACAGGCGTACCTCCCGGTAGCCAGCGGCTGCTTCTCAAGTCCCCCGGTCGTCCTGACCAATGGGTTGAAGGCGACGACTCCATCATTGGGGACTGGGGGTTGATGAAGGGTTGTGAGATTGAGGTAGGTCTTGTTCTTCTGTTCATCTCAATTTTTGGAATCCTCGACGTTCTCCAGTCTCTGGGATAGTAGATCCTGGTCAATGATCGGTTTCGATTTATTACCCGCTCAACGAATCCATGTGTTGCTTCATTGAAGCCCTTGGTTTTCCTTTCATTCATCTTGGAAACACGTCTCAAGCAGGAAATTACCAACTATATCATGAGCATATACTCATGTCTCAACCTAGGTTCACGACACTCGTCCTCAAGCAGCCCGGCCAAATTTCACCGACCTATCATCCGTCGAGAAATACGTCCTTCCTACATCCACCTACGAATCACTCTCGAACTCTGTTCTAGCATGGAAGAAGAACCAAAAACTTGGCCGGTTCGATCCGAACGCTCTAACCCCGGAAGACTCGATCCGTCAGCAATCACAGAGAGATGCTGCTGAGATTCAACAGAGAGGTGAGTAACCAGATGTCCTTGAGCTTGTTACCCTGATCGGGGAGTTAGCTTCGCGAACTTTCCACTCGAAAAGGACCAGTCCTGGGGCATGAAGCAGAAGAATTCTGATGGTTTTACTTATCTAGGCATTGCTGTTGATAAACGTGCTATCGTCTTGCCCTCGTCCCCGCCTCATATCCGACGGGGAACGATTCGATTTGTTGGTCCAGTGCCTACGATCCCTTTCCCGGGCGTGGACCCTAAGAAGGTGCAGTTAGATCCCGAGGCTCTCCCTCTCTGGGTGGGCATTGAGCTTGATGAGCCGTTGGGGAAGAACGATGGCAGCGTAGGCGGCCAAAGGTTCTTTACCTGCCCGAATAAGACTGGTGTTTTCGTGAAGCCTGAGAAAGTCGAGGTAGGAGACTTCCCGCCGTTGGACTTGGATGACTTGGATGATGAATTAATGGAGGAAATTTGATACGTTTCTTCCAAAGCGTCAAGTATGAACACACGGATTAACACAAAGATAAAGCAAAGCCTGCTACAATGTACTCCTAATCTCCCTCAAGTTACTCCGATAAATCTACAGCTCATGTCCCCTTGTTCATTGATAACCCACTGTCTGCAAAATAAAAGGGGAGAAGAGAAGGAAAGAACACAGGAGAAGAAAAGAATGGGGGACGAAGCCTTGAGGACGTGAGCAGACTTCCATCCCAACAATTTCACGTAACTAGCGCTAATCCAGAGGTCAAAGCCCAGTGCTGGGCAGGATATAGGTGGTGGGTGTTTCAAGATGATAGGAGACGTATAGAGCGAACTCGGACACAACGTTTCATACGAGATCACGTTGCCTTACGTCCGCCTGCTTTCTGTTTGCCCTTCGGTCGACCTTTTACGCCGGTCGGACGGCCAGTCGGTGTACTTGAATCGCCGTCCATGGCTCCGGGTTTGGTTGCCGATCCGGGAGCAGAGTCGTCGTTCTCCACCGGGACGCAGCCTTGTGTGAAGAACAGCCGGGCATCCTTATTCTGCGTATTGGCAAAACTGTAATAGTTGCCTGCAAACTCGATTAGGATCTCCATCGGTACGGGGCCAAGTCTCCCATATTGTCAAGGAAAGTTGTAATACGGAGCTCACTCACCTCTTGGTACCTGGAAGACACATCCTTTGCCGGCACTGAATCGTACACCGGAGATGTCTACTTGCACCCGACCCTGGCAGATGTAGAAAACCATGTGCATCTTCTTAGAATTCTTGGGCTTCTTAACCCCTCCAGGCGGCAGTTCCACAATCCCAGAGCCCAAGAAAGGCGAACTGAGAAGTTTGGCAAACCGCCACGAGGAGTCCTTGACACTCCTTGTCTCCATTCCAGCAGGGGCGTACGCAAGGTCTACGAGCGACTACGTTAGTATACGGCAACCATAGTTAAAGGAGAGTACATACCAACGATCTCCTCTTCTTCACCAACCGCCTGGGCTTCCTCGTCCCACCTCCTGATATAGCCATGCAAAATCCCGCTTTCCTTCTCCCAGGGATCAACATATCCGTCTTCTTCATCCGAGGAATCGTCGTTTTTACCCTTCCTTGATTTAGATTTCTTATTGGGGCGGCGCTTGTTCGATTTCTGTTTCTCTGGTTCGAGTTCTTCCGTGCGAATGATCTCCTTGATGGTCGATAGCGGATACCGTTGGCCCTCCACAGCTTCACCATCGCCATAGACGCATCGTTCATTTCGCCAGTATGCAAGAGGTCTGACAGAAACACGCCCGGATCGTGTATGGGTGGCAGCGCCTTCGGAAGGAACTTCGCGCTTCAGGATATAGAGACTCCGACCCTTCAATGGCCCTGTGCGGTTGACATAGTTCTCCACCACCTTGTCCAGCTCTGCATTGCCTGAAGGACTTGGGTTTTTATCAGCTTTGTCCGATACCCTAGGCTTTTTCGACGGCCGTTCTTTCTCCACTTCATCGCTAGACTTGCGTTGCGTTCGCGGCGGCCTCCCAGGACGTTTGCGTTTTGGTGCCGGCTGTTCTTCCTCATTCTCCTCAATCTCCTGCGCCTGCGCAGCCGTGGATGCCCCGGCCCTTGCACCTTTCACACCTCTAACAACCCTTGGAACAGGTTTGGCCTGTCCTCTCTTGCTGCGGGATTCGGAGACGGTTACCGGTGAGTCCAGGTCGGCGCCAGTGTCATCTTGTTCATCTGCATGGTCGTCCGTCGAGGCATCATCGCCTGCATTGAAGCTGTCCATAAAGTCATCGTGTGTCTGTGCAAATGAATGCCCGTTCTCGTCTCTGTTTAGCTGATTCTCGGTATCGCTATCGGAAAAGCCGGAGTCCATAGGCTCCTCTGTTGGTTCATCATTAAGTTTGTTGTTCCGTGCACCATTGACTTGGTTTAGAACCGGTGGCGCATTTATGGAACGACTAGTAAGTGGAGATACATCTCGTCGTGATTCCCCCCTGGCACTCCCCAGGCCTTTACCGTCTGAGGGACTGGAAGACGGTTGTTCGCGTTGCGGGCTTTGGGAGGATCGCAAGCCGGGAGTCCTCCGAGGTGAGCCAGTCAGCCCGGTCTTCATGGGAGAGCGCGCAACAGGAGGCGGGAAGTAAGAGCTCCGTCTGCTCTTTAGGAAATCGGTGGGGTTCGGACCATTGCCTGCCAAATAGTCATCATCGTTAGTATTCAGCTACAATAATGACGAGCTGTGAAACGCACCTTCGTCGATAGACATGCCATCCGAGCCGGTAGAATCCTCAGCTCGGTCACTGAAGCCATTCTCTTTTACGGGCGACGTCTCGGGCGAAGAGAATATCCCATCAACTTCTTCCATTCCATATTCATCACGTTTCCCTTCCTTCAACATTAACCCCGTGCGCCTGTGACAGTCACCTGCATCAGCCTCCCGAAATTCTAATAGGTGGAAGCGACTTGAACGGGAGCAGGGGATAGAACAAATACTGAACAGGGGTGATCAATGAGAACTGGCATCGATGATACCGACCTTCCAGCTTTGCCAACATTGGCATAATCGAACTCGCGAGCCTTCGCAGGGCCCCGGGGAGCCATTGTTCCGGAGATTCGGGAGCTGTATGCGGCAGCTTTGAGAGAGGCAACGAGAGGGGTTCAGTGGTGGTGAGACGCGTACGGACCGGGCAGGATGCGCGGGAAACCTGCCGTGTAAAACGTAAAGTAGGCGACTGTAGGAGATCACAGTAGTTGCGATTTAGCGGAGAGGGGAAAGAAAATCCCAGGTCTTGGGGATGGCGAATGAATGCTGCGGAGGGGAGTTGGAATCCGTGAGGGCGGCGAACAAACACGCGCGGAAGCGCCGCTAGTCCGGAACCGTTTGGGACGCGTCCAGCTTTCACTTTCAACAATTCATCTCAGTTGCACTCCCCGACTACACCTTTCTTTACCTTTCGCTCGCTTATCGTGATCGCAAAGTCCCGCCTGGAACCAACACAATCATGGGCGATTCAGCAGACAACTCCACTGGCCCTCCCCCCGGGGAGTCTCCCGTTACTGCAACAGGCCTCTTCATCCCTCCAAGTATAGATCACTCTCGGCTCTTCGCCGGGGAGTCCTATGCTTACTATTCACCTTGTCCTTCTGTCATTGCAACCCCCAAAGGCACTGAAACTGCTACGAGCTCTTCACCAAATCACCTTGTCTTGGGCGTAGACGAGGCCGGACGCGGTCCAGTTCTAGGCCCCATGGTCTACAGCGCTTTCTACTTGCCCCAAGATCTGCACCATTCCCTCTTGACTCGTGATTACAGCTTCAACGACAGCAAAGTTCTTACGCCCGGCGTGCGCGCTAATCTCATGAAGCTACTATGCACCCCGGGAAATCCCTTACACGAATCCTGCGGATGGGCCGTGAAGCTACTATCAGCGCGTGACATCTCGTCCGGTATGATGCGGCCTGGAGCGGGAGCTTATAACCTGAATGCGCAGGCAATGGATGCTACAATTGAACTCATCCGTGGGATCATTGAGGATCGCAACATGGATGTTCGAGAGGTCTACATCGATACGATTGGAAACCCCGCAACCTACCAACAGAAACTCGAAAAGATATTCCCATCACTCAGAATCACCGTGGCGAAGAAGGCCGACTCGTTATATCCGTGCGTGAGTGCTGCAAGTGTTGCTGCCAAAGTCACCAGAGACGTCGCATTGGATCTCTGTCATCAGGCTATATATGAAGACGTCCATGCGGAAGATGCATCGGAGGCGGTGGTGCCACAGAGTTGGGGAAGCGGCTATCCCTCTGATTCAAAGTGTGCCAATTGGTTGAAGAAAAACATGGATCCGATCTTCGGATGGGGCAACGAATGCCGATTCAGTTGGGGCACCGCAAAAGAGTTGCTCGAATTGAAGGGAAGGCCAAAGGTCGACTGGCCTGGAGAAGAAGAAGAAAATACGCAGCTCAGGGACTTCCTCTTATCTTCAACCAGTAACACTACTAAAGCTCAGCACGAGCTGCTGGAATGGTACGGGTCAAGGTCCACTGAGGTCCTCTCTTAGCCAAACATGAGTTTATCCTATATCATACGCAGATGCGGAGGTGACGATAATAATGACCAAATGATACCCACTTTCTTTTTGCAACGTGATTGCTCTTAGGTTCTATGGAAGCATATGAAATTGTTGTCATCTTGCACTTATATGGGCAAGTTGAAGCGAAAACAGAATATAGCGGTTTAACATATTAAGAGGGGATAGCTTGGGGATGGTAAGCCATCGGGTATCTAAGTTAAGTACGAGAAGACGGCTGTGTGAGGCACAGGAGGCTCCCGAGGTAAAGCAAAATGCTGGCAAAAATGGCAGAAACATCTGACGCTGGCAGAACACAGCGAACTTCACAGTGTTGTAGTCGCAAAGTAGTAGTTGTCCCAAAGATACTCGTAATCGTCAATGACGCTGCCTACCAAATCAAGCAGAGGTTTGCCCCTCATCTTGCCGGTCAGGCCTTTCAACCAGGATCTGTGTAAAAGTCAGTACAATACTCTATCTCCTTGTCGGTAGTGTGGGAAAGGCGGGAGTGCCGTACTTGGTAATGTTTTCATAGAAGGCCCCACGCATAAACCACCAACCCATCGCCCAACCTCTCTTCTTCAGTTCCTCCCGCTCCAGCCCGGTCAATCCCCGAAGGCCGCCTGCAACTCTTTCGCGAAGATCAGCTTTGGCTAGTTGTCGACAGCCATACTCCATGCCGAACCCGATAAGCCAGGGTTTCCAACTCCGCCTGTCTTTGCAGTATCGTTGCAGCATAAGCGCATAGACTACTGGTCGGAGGATGTATAGAATCTCAGCGAATTGGCCCTGGCCAGTGACTCGGTGCAACAGCGTCTTCGGTGGCTTGATATCGTCGGCCGTAAGAACTTTAGATATCAAGTAGTTCGAAAGGTCGTCCACATTAGGCAAAGAAGGAAGCGACAGGCCAGTGCGAGGCATAGTCCAGCACAAATCCGACGACTTTTCGCTAACAGGTGTCTGCATGCCATTCCAGTCGCTATTGTCCTCCTCTTCTGGCGATCTGGGATCTACTTCCCGTTCAGGAAGTGGGGGACTGACTAATGGTCTAGAGTTGGTGAGACGAAGGAGCAACAGGCGACAGATGGCCTTAGCGGCTTCGATTAGGACGATGACACGCCAGCGCACCTTCTCGCCACGACGCCGAGCCGCCATCTCCCACAGCAGTTCCGTATACTGAATCATCTGTAGTGCGATGGCGATCCTCTGATACAGTGAAGAGTGGGAGGTCCAATACTTCGTGTAGCGCGCATGAGGTGATGGTGTAGGCCGCGGGATCGTTGAAGGTAACCTAGAAATGACTCGCGAAACCAAAGAGTCATGGTAGAGCGACAGAAGCTGTACCCCTGAATGCACTTTTTCGCAAAAGTCAGTATTAAATGAACGGCTTCTTCGTCTGAGAGTGAAACATTAGGAACGCTTGAATAACGTACCGCACTCTGAGCTTATCTCCGAATCTCGGTATCGTCCTACACATGGTCTTCAGCTTTCCATTTCCTCGGCCAAGTTCCTGTACCTCAAGCTTCATGCACTAACCTGGGATGATGTATGTTAGAGACCTCAACGCGGACTCCACTTGGCCCACAGAGCTAGCATTCTTCGTCACGAACTCCTCGTACAGTGGAAGCCATTTGGAAGGTTGCAACAGTGCAGCAGGTATCGGGTTTTGGGCGCGCCATGATGATTCCATATTCAGGGCAAAACCATGAAAAATATAGGGTGAGCTTGATGTCTTTGATATCAAGAAGTGCCTTGAAATAATATGAGTGGAGGCCCCCCCAAGCGTACCCAGTCGTGTCAGCTGGGCTGGAAGAACGACTTTATCTACGGCGTGAGCTAGTTCCGGGTGGGTAGGGAGAGGTAGGCCGAGGTAGGCACCAGGGAAGCGGCTAAGGCACGTGTCGCGAGCTTGCCAAGAAATGCGATATTACAATAATACAGTGATCATATTAGAAAGCAACTTGGACAAACAAGCGATAATGCTTGGGTTGTATTGGAAGCCCCGATAGAAAAACATTGGCATCTATCTACTGCCTAGGTAGCTTTTGTGGAAGCTCTCCTGTAAACCCAAGCGCAGCCCTTAAAAGCCCAGTGTACTGTGTTCACTCATCTGCAAACTTCCAGAGGCCACCGGGACGCATTGCCTCTCGATATCGGTCTCGCACCTTCTCCCTTTCAATCTCCCTTGCCTCCTCATGATCACGCTGCAATTCCTGTGTATCAGGCATATCTGTGCGCCAGTATCCCGGTGGCGATCCCGATCGCTGGTGGTGATGCCTATGCTTCCCAAACCGATTGGCAATGAGCCTGGCGTTCGCCTCTTGCAGAAGGCTCTTTCGATCCTCCGTGCTTAGTTTATCTAGTATATGTGCTTCCTCTCCCAAATAGTCCTCCAAAATCTTCCGCTCTTCCTGTTCTCTGTCCTTATTAGAGGTTGCGTTCGTCGGAAGACCGCCCAGGCGTGCCATGGCATGGAACTTGTCTCCGCAGCAGCTGGGGCGCATACAACCCTTTGCACACTTGCGCTCGTCTGTGGTGCGGATGACGCTGCTAAACGCAAAATTTACCCCTTGGTTATAGTTTGGATTAATCCTGAAATGGGTGAGTTCGAGATAATGCAGCGGCAAAGTTCTATATGGTATACGCGTGGCATTCTCCTTTACCCGTTGTGCTTCGCTTCCCGAAGACGAGGTGGCCTGAGTGAACCCATGTTGAATATCAAGCTTCGAACCCCCCTGCATGATTTCTGGTTCAGCATTTGTCTGTCCTCCCCTGCTATTATTAGATGTTTGTGACAAAGTTCGTCCAACAGAAGGAGAGCGCTGCCCTGTGCGGCCCCTTGTGAATTTTTCATTCATATTCTTGGGTTGGAGCTGTTGTTTAACAGGCACCGGTCCTTCAAGAAGTCCTTCCAGTCTCTGTACGGCAAATTGGCCTTCCTTTCCTGGGCCTGGATGTGGCGACCTAGCTTCAATTGCCGACGTGTTAAATCGGTTTGGTGTAGCGACGTTCACGTCATTCTCTTCGCCATCCTCAGCCATCGCCGAGATGGGGTATTTGAGTCTCGGTTTTGATCCCTTCGCGGCTGCTGTGCCTAACCGTTGGTCATATCTATGGATGCTTGTGTTGCCATTGACCGATTGCAGTACCGTGGGTCGTCTCGAGAATGATTGAGATGTTGCTGGGGGCAGGCCTTTGCGTCTGGCTTCAATCGCTGGTGAAGCCGCTCGCTCGGAGCCAATTTCCTTATACTTCTTCCTCTTAGTTGGCGTTTCAACCAAGACACCAACCTCGTCCAGGTCCTGGGTCTCAATAGCCTCGCAACTAGACAATGGCCCCCCCAAAGGGCTAGATGACAAGCCCTCGTCTTTGATAGAGATAGGTTGGCTTGAACCACTGTTACCATGATTAGGGGCATTATCGTGAAGTGTTGGGCATATTTGATGAGGCGGTTGTGATGCTGAACGTTTCCGTTTGATAGTTGCGGCCGGAGCAGTTGCACTCTGAGCTGCAGCTGGCTCCCTTGGCACGTCGGCATTCGAAGATTCATCATAAGCACCTAGTCCTAAAGTATGCATAATAGGGGCGGAAGCTCCTCGCAAAACTGGATGCATGGCCGATTTCGAAGAGTTTATTGGTATAGATGTTGATAAGTTAGTGAATAAGCGTGAATGTTCTTCACAGCTGTTTCTCTTAGCCCGCTGAAAATCAACTGCTTCTCCATCGAGCACCAATGTGAAATTGTCGCGGTCGAGGCTCTTTCTCCAGTGCATTAATTTCTTTTTGTGACGTTTGACTTGTCTTCGAAGTTCGCCAGAGGCTCTCATAAGCGTCTGAGCTTCTGTGTAAAGCGCGGCATACAAGTCCCTCACAGCCATTATCTCAGTAGAGTTGAAGCTCTCGGAGTCCCTGCGGTTGGCACATATACGATCTATAGCACGATGCGGCGCGTACGTTGCTTCCAGTTCGAGGAACTTCTGAGCAGTAACTTGGTCTTCAGTGGACCCAACATCCCCGAGACGCAGCTCATCCCGTAGAAGAGTAACCTCATCCTTTAAGGCTGTCAATTCTGCATCCGCTCTTTTCCGTGCTTCATCTGCAATTTTAAACCTCTCCTCGGCCGCCTGCACCTTCGCGTCTCGGAGAGCAAGTTCTTGTTGAAGGGTCTTGTGGACATCTTTGAAACAATCGCCAAAGGCTTGAGTAACAGAGATTTGGAACTGTTCAAGAGCCTCCATTGATTAAAACCTATGCTACATACAGGAGAGGTCTCCCGGATGTACGTAGTCGGCTATGACACGCGACTTTGACGCGCAAAGATAGATACCCGCAGTAATACCAGTAGTTTCCTGATTGTATGAAGTGCAGAGGACCGCTCTATTACCTCGGCACGTACCGTATCGTTCGAGACATCGGTCCGCCATCCATACCGTATCAACCACCCTCCGATAAGCCTCCGCCCTGACATTATTAGGCGGACGGGCGGAATAGGAAGTGGTACCTCCGCCTCAAGAGGGCGTTCATCCAGCAAGCACTGACTTGTGCAGTCGGTTGTTCCGAATTTCGTGACTGTCTTTACCCCAGCATTGCATTCCCAGTCACAAAATGCCAAAGAGGCGCAATGTTGAAGATCTTCCCCCGCCAAAGCGTCTCCGCATGACCCCCAACGGCCATCTCGATCACATATCCAGACTAAGTGACGAGCTCCTACTTCATATATTGTCTTTTCTTCCCCTCCCCTCTCTGCTTGTCTGCCAACAGTATGTCCTCCTCAGTTAGAGTGCCGGCCTCACAGCTCATCCCTTCTCCCCACATAGACTCTCGCGTCGGTTCCATGTCTTAGCTGGAGATTCGGAGCTCTGGAAAAGACAGTATTATTCTCGATGGGTACGGCCTCGAGCGCGTCGGTTACCAAATGCTAGGCGTTCACTATCCCGCTCTGAAATCGAGTATTCGCCTAGGGTTTCTACCTGGCTTGACCACAGTCACTTGGCAAAGGAAGGAGTGGCCACAAATTGGAAACGACAGTATCGTCTCCGACACAACTGGTCGAGGGGAGTCTGTCGGGTCACAGAGATCGAGTTTCCACAACCGCTTCGTCGACAGATGCTAGTAACATTTTGTGCTGGCATTGTGTTTACAGCGGATTCAGATCACGGCTTAAGAGCTTGGGCCGCCGAAAAGCCTGAACGATGCTTAGCAAGGTCTCCTTTGGCAAAATCGCCGTCGCGATCGTTACCCGCTCCCACAGCAATGGCGGCTGCAACGAGCGGTCCACAGCAGAGCTTAATAGATGTTACAATTGGTTTTGAGGATGGCCGTCTCGGCGTCTATACTCTAGACACAACAAATTTCTGGATTGAAACGCGCTTCGCCTACGTCGAAGGCACCGGTGAAGCCATCACGGCAATGGCCTCGTACTCCCCTTTCCTGCTTTTAGTTTCTCAACACAAGGTTCTATCTTTGTATGAAACAATCACAGACGAAGACGGTTGGTCATTAACTCCACGACTACTGACTACTCTCAAGGCGGACAGTATATTGGAGCCAATATCGCTATCTGTCCGCGCTGCGGGTCCCAAAATAGTAGCGTCTATAGTGTACAGTTTTTACCATATAGGCTGCGGCTGGTCACTAGGTATTCAAGAATTGCAATTCGGCTTGGACGGTCAGCAGCTGAGTTCTCGGCTTGCTACCACAGTCGACTGCCAATACGGGATTGTGTTCCCAACTTCTCGCAGCCGGTCAAAAAGGGACTATCGCACCACAGATGTGGTAGGCTCCGGGAATGAGCTAAATACAAGGCTACCCGGACCTTCAATATCACACTATGAACCACCAACCTCGGTGTCCTATTCTCATCCTTACCTTTTGTCTTCGCACGCGGACAATACCTTGACTGTGTACCTTGTGGTCTCCACTTCGACGAGCCTTTCCGTGACAAGCTGCCAGCGTCTCTGGGGCCATACATCGTCCGTCTCAGCCGTGCAGGTTAGTGATCGTGGTAAGGCAGTTTCGGTGAGTTCTAGAGGAGATGACATCAGAATATGGGAACTCGAATCTTTGGTCTCTTCACTCGGAGGGCACAGGGCGTTAAGGGACGGGAATAGCATCCGAGTAAGCCCAGGAAATAGGGCAGATCAGCGACATGATAGCCTTGACTTAGTGTCGGAGGCTTCTCAGGGTCAGTTCAACGCAACCCGATCAAGCTCGGTCGATAATACCTACGGGTTAACGAGGATGCACAATTGTGTTGGCTTCGATGATGAGCGAGTCCTTCTACTCCGCGAAAAGGAAGTTGGGACGCAGATGCTCGAATTATATGACTTCACGTGAAATGACAATTTTGTAATCTATAGATACCATAGATCAGAGTTCAAGCCTGGTCAGGAAAGCCTTTATGAACCACCTGCTATCCAAAAGTCTGACTATGTCGCTAATAAACTTCCAAACGTCCATTCGAGAAGAGGTATTCATGGCAAAAGCAATCAGTAGGATGAGAAAAACCGAAGAGTAAGTGGAGGCCATTCCAGATCGACATGACAAACCTCAAGTTGCAAGCAACCAAGGTGTCCGGTCCCGGAGAGGACCTTGGGAGGGAGCCATAAGAGTCACGGCGTAGTTTAAAGCGCTACCATCCTGCCCTGAAGTAACGGATAGTTTCCCTCTCCTCGTACCTTTCTTTCTCCCGCGGTCAGGCTCGATGTTATGTACTGTTCGACACGAGCGGCCTACTAGGGGACAGTCTCATCACACTGTCCACACTTCTACCCTGTGATATATGGCTGCGCATACACTCGCTAATTGAAAGGCATCAAATTTGCCAGCACCTAGTGCGAAATAGATTTCAGCGACTGATGAGAATATTATCTAGGATAGGATGAGCCTGCTTTCGTCCTCGTTGTCGCAGAGGAAAAGCAAGAGTAATGTACCAATCTCACGAAGGTCTGGTTAGGGACCCGCCAAAGACCTCCTCTCCTTTCTCATCGTGACTGCTGCGATCGCCACCACATGTACGGCATAATGGCGGATCGCTAAACGCTACCTGGAAAAGCTAAGTAGGACTTGGCTTAAGGGCACAGCATGGGTGTGGGTATGGCGCGAAAAGCCAGGATCACACCCAGGTCTGGAAGCGGGCAGGTGTTGTGTGTTGCGGCCTCCCGGCGTTAAAGCCCTGCAGGAACCACGGGAAGCGCTCCCCCGCACCGACTGTCCGCATGTCTGATTTATTTTTCCTTCTGGTTATTATTTATCGGCGCTAGCAAGAAATCCCTACCTAAATTTCTGATCGCCCAGTTTCCACCCCCCTCTCAAACCCTCACCTGGCCATCACCATCCTCTCTCTTACTTACCTCTTCACCCCAAAAGTTCTTTACCAGTTCACCTACGCCCTATATTCACAATGAGTTTCCAAGCTGGAGGTCGTGGCTGCTTCAACTGTGAGTCCCTGCCCCCCCGCTCTGCTCCGTCGATTGTCAAACCTGAGCCCTTCGATTCTGTCATGCACCTTGTGTGCCTCCATTCCCGCAGCTCCAGCCGAGGGGGAGAAAAAAAACGGTTTTTCTTGATCATGATTGCCCATCATCCACCGAGTTTTACTTGGTGTCCTCAGTTTACAGCTGGGATCCCTTGACCTTCCATGATCACCTATCTATCTGTCCCATTTTTCTCATAGCGAATGGTCCTGCCGTCTTAGCGCGGTGGCTACCATTCCTGGTGAAGCGAATTTCTGGATTGGCACGGAAAAGCTAACAAAAGATCTTCATTCATTTTAGGCGGTGATGCTTCCCACCAGGTAAACCTTTCCCTGTCACCATCGTCTCCTCATAGCATCCTCGGCCAGCATTTTCTGGGATTGTCTCTATAATCATGGTTTGGCAACTTTCTAATCTCTAATCTCTACAGGCCCGTGACTGTCCCAAGAAGGGCACTCCTACCTGGTATGCTTAACTTGCACTGTCCATTTTCCTCTTACTGTAAACATTATTGACTAAATTCGGTAGCTACAACTGTGGTGGTATGTCTCCCGACCTTGTCTCTTCATCAATGACCAATCTCCCTTATTCCTTTTCGTTCACTGGCCCATTTTCATTGCGCCTCTTTCCGTTGATTCTTAGCCACTCTATCTAACCACACCTTTGTACCATCACAGGACAGGGACACGTCAGTAAGTCAACCAGCGAATTCTCCATTTCTCCGTCTTTTGATCATATATATATATATCTTCCTTTGTCTTGCCGAGATGCTAACAAGCCTATCATGCAGGCCGTGAATGCACTGTAGCACCCAAGGAGAAGTCCTGCTACCGCTGCGGTGGTGTGGGCCACATCTCCCGTGAGTGCCAGGCTAGCCCCGCCGAGGGTTTCGGTGGTGCTGCTGCTGGTGGTGGCCAGGAGTGCTACAAGTGCGGCCGTGTCGGTCACATTGCTAGGAACTGCCCTCAGAGCGGCGGCTACGGTGGTGGTTTTGGCGGCCGTCAGCAGACTTGCTACTCTTGCGGTGGCTTCGGACACATGGCTCGCGACTGCACCAACGGCCAGAAGTGCTACAACTGTAGGCTACTGCACCCTTCACAATCTCTCAGGTTCAGTCAGACACGCTAACACTGTTTTCCTAGGCGGTGAGGTCGGCCACGTCTCCCGCGACTGCCCTACGGAGGCCAAGGGTGAGCGGGTGTGCTACAACTGCAAGCAACCTGGTCACGTCCAGGCTGCTTGCCCTAACTAAATAGTTGATCTGCATGCTGCATCGTTTGTCTTCTGTCGCGCTATCATACGCGAGACCAGGATATCGGGATGACCTTTATCGCGCTCGCCGTGATGATCTACAATCTCTTTACCCCGATTTCTCTGGTCTAATGCACGACTTGGCTTGCGAGCCTGTCTCTGATTGACTTCCTCCGCCGGCTGACAATGATATCCAAAATGATATCCAGTTATCGTGGAATCAAACGGATGAAGTCCGGTGTTCCAATCAATAAAAGCGGGAGAATCAGTTTGTAAGACTGATAAGTGGTGGCCTGGGTTTGCGGGTGGGCAAACATGTGAAATGATGTGTAATGCGGAAGAAAACTTGTCCACAAAACTAGCATATGAAAGCAATTTCAATTCCACGGTTCCATCTTAGTCAGGCCTTTGCCTGCTCGGCATGTACCTCCAGGGAATCGTTAGGGGAGTAGTCTTTATCAGTCAGAAAGAGGGTGGAAACAATTTTTTTTTTTTGGTGATCATTTTCAGTTATCCGTAGCATCAGCTACTTGCATCAAAAATCCCATTATTCTAAACACATCGTACGCCGCGGACTTTAATTGTATCGGTCGCGGTTTATGGGAGCACGTTCAAGAACTGCAGCTGCACATCATGGCTCTCTTGAAGCGAGGGACATCCCCACAAAAGCGCTCCTCTTCATCATGATTCTGCCCCCATTCTTCATTGAAGGGATTGAGTGCCATATGCATCACCCTTCCAAGTACCTCTCGATCTCCATGGCGTTCAACACGTTCAATAACTTCATCGAGGATCCAGCCGCGAGGCAGAAACTAAAGAAACATATCCACCCATTAGTGTTGTGGCGGGCTAGCAGCGAAACTAGTAATGGTAGGCTTACCTTTGGGTTTGTACTCTTCATGATCCTTTGTCTTTCCAAGTCTTGATCAACGCCCCAGTCTTCTATAATTCGTTGTCTCCACTTGTCAAGCCAATCTCCGACTCGTTGCCTCGCGGAATCCTCGGTGTATCCGATGCCACCAAACCCTTCGTTATGAAAGAAGATAGATGCTATCCTCTCTCTCATCTCTTTGGTCTCTATATCCGATAGCGATACGTTTGACAGTCTTCGGAAAAAGTGATTGAAGTCTAACTCCAAAGCCTCCAATGTATCGAGCAGTTCCGAAAACAATACTTGGAAGTCAGTTTCTTTTTGACTGCGCAAGCCTAGCCTGTTGCTCATGATGCGTTTGTATTCGTTCAGGAACACCATCCTGAACTCCTTGCCTGTTCGGTCAATGATCTCCTCCGCACGTTTAATGATGGCAGGCGCGGCTTCCTCTGTCACACCATCCCTCACAAAATCTTCCTTGTCAACGTCTTCACCTGCACCAATGAGTTCTCCGAGTGACTCGCCGAGCCTAACCAGATTCCACCAGATGATGCTAGGTTGGTTCTTGTAACAATATCTCAGGAGATGGTCATCATGGTTAGGCGTGTACTGAGGATCGAAGTTGTCCATGAACGCGAATGGGCCATAATCTAATGAAAGGCCATAGATTGAAGTATTGTCAGTGTTCAACACCCCGTTCATAAATCCATATGCTTGCCAAGCAGCAACGGTTTTAGCATTTCGTCGTGCAATTTCACGGTACAACCTTGCAAACCGATTCTCTTCCGAGCCTGGCGGCCCTTCAACTTGGTCCCAAGATACATGTCTGGGAGGGTTGTCTACAGTATCAGACGACTGACTCTGGTCCAACGGCAGCATAGCGGGCAAAGCCTCCCAGCCCTGGAACACATCCTCTGCGACATACGTCGCCAATTGTCTAATCAGCTCACGGTCTCCTCGTGCCCGTAGGAGGTCAAATGTTCCGATCCTCAGCCACGATTCAGCAAATCGAGCAACTATAGCTCCGGGCTCCAAACGTTCGCGCAACACCTTTGACTGAGGCAATAGGGTTATAGACAAAGCTCGAGTGGTTGGAACACCAAGTGCAGAAAGGGCTTTGCTCGCAGTTAGTTGAAGCTGCACGATTAGGACATGCGGAAGCAATACCTTCTGATACTATGTATTCCCTGATGCTAGAGCGAAGCACAGCCTTTCCATCGGCGAAGCGGGAATAAGGAGTCCGCCCCGCACCTTTTAGTTGTAACTCATAGCGAGTACGGGTTTTCGGGTTTGTAGTTTCGAAAAGGCTGATTGCACGCTGGAAAATCAATTATTAAGCTCCATCATTGAAGAGTTGTATCTAGAAACAAGCACTTACTCCGTCGCCGAGTTGCCCAGCCCACGAGCCGCTGCTATTTGTCAATTTCGAGGAACAAAGATATTTACTGTCAGGAAACATACAATTGCCATCCTTGAAGGTATTAGTGATTATTAATCTCGGTCTAAGAAATTTAAAGGTCTCCAACGTCTCTCACCTCCGTAACATTGTGCCCAAGGATATATGCCACCCTCATTTTCATCCCAGTAAAATTCATTTCCCGCAACTAAAGCTTTGAACTTCGGGGAAAGCTCTTCACCGGGCTTTAAACCAAGATCATTCATGGCCTTTGGACTCACCCCAAGAAGTTCGCTCTCCTCCGCCGGCTCAGGTCTGACGAAGGTATATAAAGCACCTTTTACTAACCGTGGGCCGAGTGTCTCACGGGGAGCTCGATGTGACACCTCAGGGGTCTCAAAAGCTGGGTCGGGAGGAAGCTTGGAAGTGAAGACATTGGACTTAGGGAGTTCGGTCAACGAAAGCCCTCCGTTTGCGTCGGAGAGCTGCGACGCCATTTGAGTTAAGCGATTTCGACTAATCCGCGATGGATAGAGGGTACTGCGGGCCAACATAAAACGAGCGCGGAGAAGGCCAGGATGAGCGACAAATAAGCCCATGGAAGACCTAAAACAGTGAGCGAGGGATGTGTCAAGTATATACGGACCCTCGACAAGCTACTTAGGTAAATAGGAGGATGGCTTTTACCGGGTTCTATAAGAAGAGTATGACTATCACTGCCAGTGTAGCTGTTAAGTTTAGTTTATCAGTTAGTTAACCGACGAGTACTCTCTGTATTAGCAATTGACCTGGGTCGGTTTAAGTAAGCCGGCGAGGCGAGACCTGGGCTATGACATCATTCTCCTCAACCAGTTCCGCCTACCGATCCCGCATTTGTCTGCCCCTTGATGGACTACACGCTGGTAACGCAATGTCTACCATTGTAAAATAGAACCTCTTCGTCGGATTATGGTGGGGCAAGGCGGAAGGCTCGGAGATTCAGGACATGCGCAGCCGCAGCGCGGGATGAAGCTGGATGGCTTGTGGAGCCGGAGCTGATCCGATCCGGTTCGTAGAACGGAGTTTTAATACATCGTCCATCATCCATTTCTGCACCCGAGTATAGAACTTCCAAAGGTCTCCTCTGCCTTGCGAAAGAAAAGAAAGAAACTGGGGTTGGTCGTGCCTACGAACAAGGATATTACCACACCAGTCATACTGAATAGCAACAAAGATGGCCAACACCCTGAAGTCTATGCCATCCGTCAGGTTGAACGACGGCACGTGTGTTCCCCAGGTAAGTTGTAGGAGCAGCAGACTCATTTGCAACTCTATCCTTTTGGCAACCAATTCAGTTACATTTGATAACGGAAGCAGCTTGGATATGGCTGCGGCACAGCTTGGTATAAGAAGGAAGGGGACACTAGTATCAACCGAGAGCTCGTTGAATCCATCAAAGATGCTATCCGACTGGGGTATCTCCACCTTGATGGTGCCGAGACTTACAGAACCGAGCCTGAGCTTGGTCTTGCCATCAAGGAGAGTGGCGTGGAACGAGATAAGCTATTCGTAACCACTAAGGTGAGCGTAAACATCGCAGATATTCCGAGGGCAATCGACGCAAGTCTAGAAAAGCTTCAGCTGGATTACGTTGATCTGTAGGTGATCCGCCCGCCAATATGTTTCTACCGGCTCGAAGAACCTTGGTTTACTGCCAGATGCGAGGACTAACGGGGGTTACATATAGGTATCTAATTCACTCGCCTTTTTTCGCCAGCTCATATAGCGACCTTCAAACAGCCTGGGCTGCTATGGAGCAGGTGAAGGCGGCTGGAAAGGCACGGTCAATTGGCGTGTCTAATTTCCTGCAAAGCCATTTGGAGGCTATTTTGGAGACAGCCACAGTTCCGCCATCCATCAACCAGATTGAATTCCATCCCTATCTACAGCATGGCAATCTACTCGACTTTCATAAGAGCCAAGGCATCCAAACAGCAAGCTATGGGCCTTTAACTCCTATCATCCGATCAAAGGGAGGGCCAGTGGATGACCTGCTGCCACATCTGGCTAAAAAATATGCAGTCAGTGAAGGGGAGATCCTCCTGAGATGGTCCATAGACCGTGGCTGTATAACAATCACGACTAGTAGCAAAGAATCCCGCTTAAGCAGCTATTTGCGCGCCTTAACCTTTCAGTTGACTCCTAGGGAGATTGATGATATCTCCGCTGCCGGGCAGCAGAAGCATTTCAGGGCATTTTGGCAGGGAAAGTTCGCGTCAGAAGATCGTTCGTGAAAACGATTGGTCATGTTTGTATACAGTGTCAAACTCAGGCCTGTTCTGAGATTGTTGGATGAATTTAGATTCAAGCCTGGTGATTTCTGATAAACAGTCTAGCCAATGGTATCTGAGGTCGTTGCCTTTAATGGGGATTTACCTGTGATAACCAAGTACTAGGACATACAGACCTGAGTCTTCCGTTTGCCACTGCACATAGATAGGGACAAAAAGAACGAGGGCCATGGAGAATTGCAAGCGGTACGTAGTCGGAGAAGACTGGTTGAGAAGTAAGAGCTTCAATCTTTGAAGTATGGTACGGAGTAAGGTGCCTAGTAGATAAGCGGAGGAGACCCGCTCTAGACTAATCATAAGCAAATCAATTACTGCCAAGCGTTTCCGCTTCGACCGCCAGCCAGCATCCCCAGTCGCGACTAAGCGCGCGCCCCCCCCAACCCACCCTCATTGTCGGACGGAAAGGCGATCCCATCTCCAGAGGAAGCTCCTCGGCGCTCTCCTTCCTTGTCGTCTATTCCTTGCTGTTACGCCCACATCAACACTAGCGAGCCAGAGGCTCCCGTCCTCTATCCTTATGGCCTCGAGAGTCTCATTCTAGCTCCGGCATACATTGGCTGTTTGTCGACGCTACTTCTGTACGACAGGTCGGGGCTGGTTTCTTATCGCGTTCCCCATTCCAGCCAATTTTGTGCAATTTTCCCCGCCAGCTGAATCCAGTCCGGCTGGCTGTGGGTGAATATATTCGGATCCAAAGCGCTTGTGTTGTTGAACGCTCGTTTATTTCGGTCTCTCTCTTAGCGTCACAGGTCGCAGTTTTGGGGGGCAGTCGGCAAAGGCCAACGAGGAGCTCAGTCCGCTCGGTATCCAGATTCTGACACAAGATAGAGGGAAAGGGGAAGACTCAATAACAATAAGAAGGCGCGCTGGCAGTTCTTGAAAGGTGACTTTTCACAAGGTCACACTACGTGGTCCCTGAACCTGTTCCTGGGAAGTGCGATGTTCGATAGTGGCGGCAATTGAACTCCAATTCGCGTAGCCACATGATACTGGGAGCTAACGCCACTCAGGGAGGTCAAAAGAGAAGGAAGGAATACTTGGTATTGGTTCATGGTCAGTCGAAAAGAGCTTGCTCGCCGTCAGCCACGTAGGCTTTTGATCAACGGACTGCAATGTCGGGGGACCAGCCCTATCGCTCCGCGGATGATGAAATAAAAGACCCCAAGTTCATTAACGAACAGACACATAACTCCGGTCAATCTTCCATCGACCAACGATTGAAGCGGCTTAGGGAAGAAATCCTTCCGTTCTACCCCTTCCTTCTCACTGTTCCCACTGATGTGCCTTTCCGTCTGGGGAGTCGCTTTGTCAACAACTGGGCTGTGGGTAATGACGGGCCGTTTACACCGGAGGAGCAACAACTACAATATATGACATTCCTTACACATCACGAAGGAGATTCCTTGCTAGTGGCTGTGGGTGACTGGTCTGACGCGACAGGAAACGTCATGTCCGACCAGCGTTCCGGAGGCCAGAGTGCTGCAAGCACACCATCCAACAACTCGGTGAAGAAAAAGATAACTTTTAATGACTATAGGAACAGAAGGAAGAGTGGCGCCTCCGCTTCCCCTGTCGGCCCTGAAGTCAGTAAGCAAAGCACCTCAATTCTTGATACCCCCGATGCAAGTCAACGAGCTGTTAGGGCTAGCCTTCCTAGCAATGACTCGCAAAAGCCCGTGGGAAAACCACCCGTCCAATCGCGAGCTGCGTCTAACTCGGGGGGCATCGAGCGCAAGCGCCCGTTTGTCGATGGCACCTCCGATTCTTCGAGGTCACAGCATAAGGTCGCGGCCCCCAAAAAGCCGAGGATATCTCCGAGTCCTGCAAAGACCGAACGGCTGAAGGGTAACGGCTTGCCTGCTCTCCTGTCACCGACCCTTCCCCCTACTTCAAACAGTCCAAGACTGCCTCGGCTTCTGTCTCCTACTCTTCCGCCTGATATTGAGAAGGAATTAGCTGGGCTTGGAGAAGGCCCCCTGGGCCTAGGATCATCACAAAGCGACGGCGCTTCGAATAATGATTTATCATCGGGATCCAAAATTCAGAAGGCCAAATCTGCCGTTCACGCTTCGTCACAGCCAGACTCAACACACTCTTCGGGCTTGCATAGCAAGCAATTTTATCATGGAAATGACAAACGACGGCCCTCAAGCACGGATGTCTCAACTTTGGACAGTTCTCTGGCCTCCAAAGGTAATTCAAAGAACCATGTCGGAAATACGATGTCAAGATCAATCGGCTCGCCACCGGTTCTACAGGATGCTTCGGCTAGAGTGCAGTCGGTCGTGAAATTGAAATATGGAAGATCAAACCGGAAGCGGATCGAGGCTCTCCTGAAATTTTCTGGCAAAAAGAAACCGGCCCCACCGGGGTCACCTGTGAAGAGTGCACCAGACATTGAGCCCTCTCAGACTCAGAAAGCCAGGCAGGCGGCAGCGAAGGCTCCAGCGTCGGAACATCCCGATCACAACAAGCCACAACGGTTGGAAGGGAAAGGGAAGCATATGGGCACAATTACCGTCTCTCGGGAGCACTCAAAAGTCCCTGAAAAGCCTCAAACGCCTATGTCTTTCTCCTCAAATCTGGCTGTAAATCCAGCAGACAGATCGAAAGCTAGTTCAACGACGCCGGTAAAAGACCCTAAGTCTTCTGCCAGCCGGTTTGATCCATTCAGCGGCAATGATGGAAAGCCGTCTTCTCATCCAGCCGTCAAGCGCCCCGGTAATTCGGCCACTCCTACAAAACTCGCATCTCCGCAATCGACTAATACGGCATCACGTCAATGCGACCGTCGAGCTTGGAAAGATGAGTATCAGAAATATTCAAATCTGGGACGTGATTTAAAGCATGCTGCGGAGCGACACACAGCCAAAGATCACGTAACTACCGTTGATGAAAAACTCGCGGCCGCTACAGCAATTGAGGCTATTCTTTGCTTCATAGTGGCATTTGTTGCCGACGATCAATCCAAAGCGCTATCCCGGCAAACTGCAGATTCGTCTTCCTGGCTATCTATCCTCGCATATTGGCGTGTTGTAAAAAAGAATAACACTCCCTATCCGCGCCTGCATAGCCTCTGCCTCATACTTGGTGCTGTCTCTTATGATGCCATTCATGCACTTGATCTTGAGCGACTTGCCGCCACACCTTTACCTGGGGAGAACACGCCAGCGCCCACTCCAGGGAGCGATGAAAACCCTGCTGCATCGGAAGACCATAAGAAGAGCCGGAAAGAGTTTGTGGAGTTGAAGAATAGACCGCACGAGTGCTATAGAGAATCCCAGAAGTTATGGCTCGAAGGCTCACGCGGTCTTTGCGAAGATGTGCTTTCGCGTGAGTTTCCAAGTACCTGGTCTAAACGATCCAAGAATTTCTCAGAGTTGGGAAGGCAACGCTTGAGAGCTGGCGACTATTCTGGC